AGCGCGCGCCTGTAGTTCCAGCTACTTGGAAGACTGAGGCGGAAGGATCGCCGGAGCACAGCAGGTCGAGGCTGTGATGTCCGGGAGCGTGCCATGGCACTCCAGTCTGGGTGACAGAGTGAGACTCCAACTCAAAAAAAAAAAAAGAGCTGGGCTTGGTGGCTCAGCCTGTAATCCCGCGCCTTTGGGAGGCTGAGGTGAGTGGATTGCCTGAGCCCGCGGGTTCGAGACCCACCTGGGGCAGCGAGACCTCATCTCTACAATAAATCAAAAAATTAGCCGGGCGTGGTAGCGCATGCCTGTAATTCCAGCTACTCGGAAGGCTGAGGCGGAAGGATCGCCAGAGCCCAGCAGGTCGAGGCTGCGGTGACCGGACTGCACTCCAGTCTGGGTGACAGAGTGAGACTCCAACTCAAAAAAAAAAAGAACAGGGCAGTCTGAGAGCCTAGCAGAGCTGCCTGTCAGCCTGGGGGCTTATCTGTCACTTTGATCAAAGGAGACAGGTGTCACCATCCCCACTTCACTGGAGATGGTACAGAGGAGAAATAACTTGCCCATGGCTGCAGCGGAAGCCGGACGCTGACTCGAGAGGCCTTGATGTGGGCATCGTCCAGGCTGAGAGGAGGAGGAGGGTTCCAGCCAGGGACACGTGGCACAAGCCAGAGTCTGGAGGGGGCCTGGGGCTTGCTAGGAGCTTCCAGCATTGGGCAAGCCTGAGGCAAGAGCCTGGCCGGAGGAGTGTGCCCGGCCTGTGAGCACTGGGGAGGGATGTGGACTTTGGCAGAGGACAGTGAGTGTTGTGGAAGGTGGAGTGGTCATGGCCAGATCCCGTTAGAGAGAGGGAGGCGTGGTGGCTCACACCTGTAATCCCAGCACTTTGGCAGGCGAAGGTGAGAGGATTACCTCAGCCCAGGGGTTTGAGACCAGCCTGGGCAACATAGTGAGCTCTTGTCTCTACAGTAAATCAAAATACTAGCTGGACATGGTAGAACATGCCTGTAGTTTCCAACTACTTGGAAGGCTGAAGCGGGAAGGATCGCCTGAGCCCGGCAGGTCAAGGCTGCCGTGGCCGTGAGTGTGCCACTGCACTCCAGCCTGGGTGACAGAGTCAGACTCCGACTTGAAAAAAAAAGAGACAGAGAAAGGAGTGGAGAGCTAGACTTTTGGACTTTGGGCTCTGTGGCCAGGGACCACCATGGACTGCTGTGTGTGTCCGCACAGAGCACCTCAAAAAGGGCATGATGGGGGCTGAGACTCAAGCCCTGCACCTGCTCAGGGCTGTGCTCTGCCCTCTCAGATGGCACCTCTTTCTAATTCCTCCGAAGGCCCTTTATGGACCTTTGGTGGCCCCATGCCCAAAAGGGTCAGAGATGTGGGTTTGAATCCCAGCTGTCTACTTCCCGGCTGCAAGCTGAGCAAGTCCCTTCAGCTCCCGGAGCCCGGGACATTTCTGAAACGGGGATGGCAATGAGGCGTGCCCTGTTGGGTTGCTGAGAAGGTAACATGAGAGAAACCTGCCTGAGGCCACCAGTGCCAGGCATGCAGTGGGCTGGGAAGTGGTAGCTCCCTGCCCTGCACTCAAACACTCAGAGCCAAAGTCAGGCTTCCCAGCCAGGTAGCCTGGCTGGTGGGTGGGAGAAGGGGGGCGCTGTTCCTGGAGCAGGGATGGGGGAACCAGGGCAGCAGCCATCGTTGGTCCTTCCCTATGGGCCCCTCTTGACCCCAACCTGGGTCCTCAGCCCCACAGAATGAGAAGCCCGGGAGTCAGGAGACGCGTGGTTGTGAGATCTGCCTGCTCTGGACCTCAGTTTCCCCATCTGAGCAATGGGTGGGAGAGGTCCTTGTCAGCCCTAGACTCCAGGGAAGGGGAAGCGACAGGCGGCCCATGGCTCTGGGCTGCAGGGCCTCAGCATCCCGGATCCCTATGCCTGGGCGCTGGGCCCCACCTCTCACTGTCTGTGACCTCTGGAGGGTGGGGAGAAGGAACTCGCCCTGCACCTGGCCCGAAGCAGACACATCATAAATGGTAGCTGTCACTCTTCTGTTCCCTGATGGATTGAACAAGTTAAAAAAGTAAACCCTGGAAAAGCCTTTGCAGCAATAAACCAGGTTCCATTTTCAGCTACATGTGACTTCCTGGCTGTGTGCTTGGATCCCAAGGCCTCGGGCTCCTCACCTGCAAAATGGGGGTGAGGCGAAGGTAGCCAGCCCCCTCGGGATGCTGGAAGGCTCAGGGCCAAGGGGCATGCAGAGCCTGTACAAAAGGGGGGCAGACCCTCCCGGGGGTGGGCAGGGGACCCTCAGCCACTCACCCAGCCCCAGCAGCAGGAGCAGGAAGGAGGCCAACACGACCCGGCGGTTCTTCTGGATCAAAGGGTGTTGGGTCCAGCTGGGTGGCAGGAGAGCAGGGAGGGCGTGAACACAGTGGAGGAGGGGGTGGGGCGGTTGTGGGGGAGAGCTGGGCCCCCCGGGCTGGGGGGCGCAGGCCAGGCAGGGCTTACCTGCAGCAGGCCCGGTAGGAGCGCTGGGTGCCGCTGCTGATGGTGCTAAAAGACCACTGGGAACTTCGGAGGGAGGTTGGGCCAGAATCCCTGCAGGATACGGGCCCAGTGAGGGGCAGGGGCGGCAGGGAAGGGGGTTCCTTGGGGATGGAAGTCAGGCAGTGCGGGGGAGGCCCAGGGCCTAGGGCTGGCCCCTGCAGGATAGAGGGCCCTGAGAGGGGACGAGGCGAGGATCGCTTCAAGGGCTGGGGGTTTCTGCAGGACAGAGAGCATGCTGGGGTGAGCGAAGGAGGCTGGCACCAGGGGTGGGTGACCTTGAGGAGAGAGGAGTGCGGAGGAGAGCTGAGTGAAGTGGTGAGGGACTGGACAGGGTCGCTGGGGGACAGGAGCCAGAGGTGTGGGGCTGGGGGTACAAGGGTGGGTCCCCACCTGGCCCTGACCTGGTGCCGACTCCCCCATCCGGCTCCGGAGAGGCCTGGGCTCCATCCTCATCATTCTCCAGGTTCTGTGGTAGAACACAGGCTCAGAGAGCTCTCTGGGCGCAGGCCCTACCTCCTGGTCTTGGGGAGAGAGCAGGCCTACACAGCCAGCCAGGCTCTCCGCCCTCTGGCAGAACGGGTTTGGTGATTCACAGAAACCGAAACCCAGAGAGAAGGCGGGTGGATGCTGGGGGCTTTGGGGAGCAGAAGCCGGCATGGGTTCCCGGCCCAGGAGACCTCCCAAATTTGTGGAGCTCTTGGGCTGTTTCATTGGCCTAGAATGGGAGCCGGGGATTTGGGCTGCGAAGGGAGAAGGGGCCCGAGGTTCCCAGGTTTGGGGCACAGGGATCTGTTCCTGTCTCCAAGAAAGGGATCCTAGGGTTGGCGGAGGTTCTTCGGGAAGGTGGACACTTCCCGTTGAGTGGGGGACAAAGGGCGGACATCCCCTCGTCACGTGAGAGGGGTCTCCAGCTCTGGGGGGAGGCAGGTTGGAGGGGAGACAGGGAAGGGGGTGCCGGCTCCCGTTGCGCGAGCTGGCCTCTCAGAGGACGCTCCCCCATACGGGCAACGTCTGGGCTCCCCAAGCCAGCGGGGGCGAGGGGTCAGCCTCCAGGATGGGTGAAGACCTCGGCGGGGACTCCGGGGGGCTCTCCAGCTGGAGCCGAGGCATGAGCTGGCTGGGGACCGATACCGGGGCCAGAGGGTCGGGCTCAGGGGTTACGTCGGGGGCGGGG